CTTGGTTCCTCCATACGTAAACAACGTATGCAACGTATGTACGTGGATACATTGTTACGTTCAGATCAAAGGGTAAACAATGTAAACAATGTATCCACGTACATACGTTGCATACGTTGTTTACGTATGTGATACTCTCCAAAATGGTGCTATAGGGTGACGCAGAGGAGATGAATTGTTGAATTAAGTCATTATTTTTGTTTTCTTTGGCACAAAAAGCGCAATAGTTTTGTAAAATTACAGTTGAACCCCTGATGTCACAAGGATTATTTTAACGATGTCCTTGCTAACGTTTCTGAGCCTTGATCGTGTAAGGATTCTTGCTGTCTATGGGAGGGTCAGAGAGCTCTCGGATTTGATCAAAAATATCTTAATTTGTGTTCCGAAGATGAATGGGTGAATTACATTTTTGGGTGAATTATCCCTTGAATAAGCGTGCGATTAGTCGACTAATGCTTAAAATGAACGACTACTTGTCGACCAGAAAAGGCAGCCCTACTGAAAACAGATGCCAGATCATACAAACTCTGAACATCTGTTCCTTCTTCTTCACATTCAGATCCCTCTCTCCGATCCTCGCACATGGACTCAGAGCTGCATGCAGTTTTTCCACTCTGCTCCCAGCTGTATGGTTCCACTCGGTCACCGGGAGCAGCTGAACGCTATAACGGCATTCGTGGACGCCAGCATGGTGTACGGTAGCTCAGATGGGCTCAGCGGGGCCCTCAGAAACCTCTCGTCCCCTCTCGGCCTGCTCGCCGTCAACCAGTTCCACTCAGACCAAGGGCTCGGCTTCATGCCCTTCCTGACACGCACGCAGATGAACCTGGACCCCTGAAGCCCACGAGAGCGGATCGACCACATCCCGCTATCAGAGACAGATCAAAGACTCAACATATCCATGGGGAACAGATCGTTCTGTTTCCAAGCAGGTTGTAGGCATTTTTCTGAGTATTTTTCAGATATCATTCATTGTGAGTTAACATGTAACACATTTTGCTTCCATAATCACGTAAAATGGGACAAACAAGAGAAAAATATAGGCCGTCATCTGATGCAGCATAAACTCTAGTACATGTAGTAAACAATGTAAAATTCTTAATATAATCAGCCTGCTATGATAGTATTACTAGCCATTTTAATTGATTTAAGTTCATGCTGTTGATTTTCCTCCCTTAATTTAAATTAAATTCAGTGTGCTTTATTAGCCTGACAAAAGCAATGGCATTCTTATTTTTAAAGCGTTTGCATACCATGACAAATGGTACATACTACATACAATGAGAAATGGTGCAAAATAGAAAAATAAAAGTAAAACAACATTTCAAATTAAGTAAATATCATGTATAAATATTATTAAATTAATAAATAAAATATTAAATAATAAAATAATTCAAAATCATTAAAAAAATTAAATAATATTAAATAATGAAATTAGTCATAGAGCAACAATACATTTTCATTTTAAGTGTTGGTATATAAGTATAATGTTCTCTATTTATGTGAAGCACCACTGTAGTCATAAATAATAGACTCAAAGGGATGAATAAAGCTTTAAACTAAAAAAAAAAAAAAAACGCTATGACAAGTGGTGCAAAATTAAACTAAAAACAATATTTCAAATTAAGTAAATATTTATAAAAAATTTTAACATATTGATTAATTCAATTAACTGTAGAGCAACAATACATTTTATTTCATTTTATTTGCAATATAGTGCTAATATTGCTGAATTGCTCAATTTTTATTTCATGTTGACTTTAAGGGTATTAAAGATAAAACACCCTATGAAAAAAAGGAAAATAAGTCACTATTTGTGTCATTTTATTAAAAAATGTCCCAGTTAGACCTTCACTCTGATGCTTTCTGATTTAAACTGGCCAGTTGATGAGCTGTTTTTGTGTGCGTGTCTCAGGTGACTCTCGGGCCAATGAGCACTTGGGTATGATTGCTTTGCACACACTCTTTCTGAGAGAACACAACCGATTGGCTGAGGAGCTTCACAAGCTCAACCCACACTGGAGCCCGGACACGCTGTACCAGGAGGCCAGAAAAATACTGGGCGCAGTCCACCAGGTGAGAAGATAAAACCTGAAAAAACGTAATAAAAATTTACTTAATTCATGCATGTCTCTGACTTGCTGAATCTTGTTTGGAAGATCTTGACATGGGATCACTACTTGCCCCGCGTCCTGGGCCGCAGTGCTAACCTGGCCCTCATGCCCCCGTACAAAGGTTACGACCCCGCAGCTGATCACAGCTTTGTTACCAACAGTCTTCAAAATACCTTCTTTTATGTTCCACAAAAGAAAGGTTTGAAATGACATGAGGGTGAGTAAATGATGAGAGAATTTGAATTTTTTTGGGTGAACTATCCCTTTAATGTTTTTATTTTTATTATTATTATTTTTAAAGAAATTATACTCTAGATAAGAAACTAAATCTGCCAGCAGGTGGCGGTAAATTTCTTTATGAGTCACTCATTCATTCGATTCGTTCAAACGGCTGATTCAATCAGTAGCCCCTCACTGCAGAACACAAGATCCAGGGGGCGTGGGTGGATCCAGATCTAGGGGTTTGGAGATGGGTGGGTTTAGGGATCAGGGGGTGGAGATGGGTAGGTTTAGGTATATGTAAGGTGGGAGGAGTTGAATCTGGATCCAACCACGCTCCCTGGATCTTGTGTTCTGCAGTGAGGACCATCTCGATTCAATGGGTCTTTGAATCATTGATTCACACGATTCGTTCAAAATGCGGATTCATTCAGAAACAAAACACCGCTGTGTTGCTCGGAGACAGGCCACAATTCTGCTGTGGGCAAAGCAGAGCAAAAACACATAATATTGTGTTTAAAAAATATAACACAATATCAACTTTTTATTTACTGAACTGTTAAAAATCAAATTTAAACTTCTGATATTTGGGACACTCGTGTGATATTGCTCTCCTTGTTGACATTTTTGCAGATTTATTAAAAAAGAAAAACTGAAATATCACATGGTCCTAAGTATTCAGACCCTTTGCTCAGTATTTAGTAGAAGCACCCTTTTGATCTAATACAGCCATGAGTCTTTTTGGGAAAGATGCAACAAGTTTTTCACACCTGGATTTGGGGATCCTCTGCCATTCCTCCTTGCAGATCCTCTCCAGTTCTGTCAGGTTGGATGGTAAACGTTGGTGGACAGCCATTTTTAGGTCTCTCCAGAGATGCTCAATTGGGTTTAAGTCAGGGCTCTGGCTGGGCCATTCAAGAACAGTCACAGAGTTGTTGTGAAGCCACTCCTTCGTTATTTTAGCTGTGTGCTTAGGGTCATTGTCCTGTTGGAAGGTAAACCTTCGGCCCAGTCTGAGGTCCTGAGCACTCTGGAGAAGGTTTTCGTCCAGGATATCCCTGTACTTGGCCGCATTCATCTTCCCCCGATTGCAACCAGTCGTCCTGTCCCCCACAGCATGATGCTGCCACCACCATGCTTCACTGTTGGGACTGTATTGGACAGGTGATGAGCAGTGCCTGGTTTTCTCCACACATACCGCTTAGAATTAAGGCCAAAAAGTTCTATCTTGGTCTCATCAGACCAGAGAATCTTATTTCTCACCATCTTGGAGTCCTCCATGCGAGCTTTCATGTGTCTTGCACTGAGGAGAGACTTCCGTCGGGCCACTCTGCCATAAAGCCCCGACTGGTGGAGGGCTGCAGTGATGGTTGACTTTCTACAACTTTCTCCCATCTCCCGACTGCATCTCTGGAGCTCAGCCACAGTGATCTTTGGGTTCTTCTTTACCTCTCTCACCAAGGCTCTTCTCCCCCGATAGCTCAGTTTGGCCAGACGGCCAGCTCTAGGAAGGGTTCTGGTCATCCCAAACGTCTTCCATTTAAGGAATGGAGGCCACTGTGCTCTTGGGAACCTTAAGTGCAGCAGAAATTTTTTTGTAACCTTGGCCAGATCTGTGCCTTGCCACAATTCTGTCTCTGAGCTCTTCAGGCAGTTCCTTTGACCTCATGATTCTCATTTGCTCTGACATGCACTGTGAGCAGTAAGGTCTTATATAGACAGGTGTGTGGCTTTCCAAATCAAGTCCAATCAGTATAATCAAACACAGCTAGACTCAAATGAAGGTGTAGAACCATCTCAAGGATGATCAGAAGAAATGGACAGCACCGGAGTTAAATATATGAGCGTCACAGCAAAGGGTCTGAATACTTAGGACCATGTGATATCTCAGTTTTTCTTTTTTAATAAATCTGCAAAAATGTCAACAATTCTGTGTTTTTCTGTCAATATGGGGTGCTGTGTGTACATTAATGAGGAAAAAAAAATTAACTTAAATGATTTTAGCAAATGGCTGCAATATAACAAAGAGTGAAAAATTTAAGGGGGTCTGAATACTTTCCGTACCCACTGTATATTTATTATGTATATATAAATACACACACATGCATGTATATATTTAAGAAACATATGTTATGTTTATATAATAAATATATTTATATATATAAAATATAAGAATATAAATGTATAAATGTAAATACATGTAAATATTTAAAATATATATACTGTATGTGTGTGTATTTACATATACATAATAGATATACACAGTATACATACATATAATATGTAATCAAAAACTTTTATTTTGGATGCGACTAAAAGAATTGTGAGATGTAAACTGGAATTCCAAAAAAAACCTGAATTGCGTGATGTAAATTCAGAATTCTGAGGGGGAAGAAGTCTGAACTGTGAGATGTCAACTCTGTGAGAGAGAAACTTTTTAAAAAGTCAAAACGAGTCTCCACATGTCGGTAAATGGGAAAAACGTCCTGTTGTTGACTTCTTGAAACAGGAACGTCTTGTAAACATTTACCTCAGTGTTAACAATGTGGCACATTTACTGCATTCAGTCTTTCCCAAAGCAAGAACAACACAAAGCCTGTGGAGAGTGAAACTGTACGGCTGTTATCCGTGGGTTCGGGGAGTGCTAGTGTTCTGGGAATTCTTCTGTAGTGCTTCGCTGAATACATACATGAATATGGAGCTAGAAAACGCCAGCATGGGAGTGTTTGAGTGAAAGTTGAGATGACCGTGCTGTATTTGTGTTTGTGTGCTGGTTCTCTAGCTCTCCTCCGTCAGAAAGTATCCCAGTTTGGCCACACTCATCTCTCTCCGCAGACGCATCACTTCCCAAAACATCTGCTGGACTGCAACCACAGAAAAAAGACAATTATTTTCTTCTGACATACTGTACTGCAATCAAATTAAAACTTTAATTTATATTTATAATTTAATACAATTAAAACTTTCAAATATAAATTAAAAATAATAATACATATATATATATATATATTAAAACACTTAAACATTGTATATGAAATTCATATTATATATATATATCAATTTAAATATAAAATACATATATATATATATATATATATGTATGTGCGTGTGTGAGACCCTGGAGCACAAAACCAGTCATAAGGGTCAATTTTTCGAAATTGTGATTAATACATCATCTGAAAGCTGAATAAATAAGCTTTATTTATTATGTATGGTTTGTTAGGATAGGACAATATTTGGCTGAGATACAACTATTTGAAAATCTGGAATCTGAGGGTGCAAAAAAATCAAGATATTGTTGTCCAAATGAAGTTCTTAATGCATATTACTAATGAAAAATTAAGTTTTGATATATTTACGGTAGGAAATGTACCAAATATCTTCATGGAACATGATCTTTACTGAATATGATTTTTGGCATAAAAGAAAAATCGTATACAATGTATTGTTGGCTATTGCTACAAATATACCCGTGCTACTTATGACTGGCTTTGTGCTCCAGGGTCACATATACGAGTAATACAAATATTTACTTATTAAAAATAATTTAAATATATAATATTTTAATATATATATATATAGAAAATAGATTGTTTTTATTCTTATATATTAAAATTAATTGTGAATAAAATACACATATATACATTAATTAATATAAATAAATACGTCATATTTAAAGTAATAAATATATATTTTTCTTTCACTTGCAATTTTATATATATATCAAATATAATTTTATTAATAAATTAGTTGGTTTCAGATTTTTTTTCATGATTTTCTAATCCTAGACATTGATTTTGTGAACAACAACTAGTCCTAAACAATCATCCATAAATAGTCAAATTGAATTCTAGGAGACTAGTATACAGTTGATCAACTCACCGTCCTGTCTGACGAGGCCCTGCTGGATGTACCTGATGTAAGTGAAGAAATTACACACGGCTGTGATCTGTGAGGAGAGAACGCGCTTTATTAACCCGGTCCTGAAATAAGCATCCGAGAACTGCTTATTAAAAGTGCTTATGAAGAATGAGAGAGTATAGACACGTACTCGTGCTCTGCTAGACGGAGATATATAGTAGTAATTCTCTTTATCTCCCAGTTTGATGCGATGTCGGCAGGGGCGGGACATGCCGCTCAGCGCACATTTACTGTTCAAGCAAAAGAGAACACTGGTCATTAGAGCTGTCAATCAAATTACTAAACACTCGTAACAGCCAATAAGATACAAGCCCAGCAACAACATGCCCAGCAAGAAACAAACACACAGAAAACCTGTTCTTCAGTTGTGTGAAACTAATTGCTTTCAGCAGAAACGTTTCTAACACTGAAACCTGAAGACACACAATTATAAATTAAATAAATAATAAATCTTATATAAATTATACAAAGTGAGATGCACATTGCAAGACAAGGGGTTTTCGCAAAAAAGAAAAGTAAATAATTGAATTATGTGTTAAAAAATCAATTATAAAAATCAATTTAAAGTAGTGCTGTCAAACAATTAATCGCGATTAATCGCATCCAAAATAAAAGTTTTTGTTTACATATTATATGTGTGTGTACTGTGTATATTTATTATGTATATATAAAGACACACACATGCATGTATATATTTAAGAAAAATATGTTATGTTTATATATTAAATATATTTATGTATGATATAAATTATATGAATATAAATGTATATACATGTAAATATTTTCAAAATATATACTATATGTGTGTGTCTTTATATATACATAATAAATATACAAAGTACACACACATATATAATTTTTTATAAACTTTTATTTTGAATGCGATTAATTGCGATTAATCATTTGACAGCACTAATTTAAAATTATTTAAATAAAAATAATAATTCTCCGGACAGAAAACAATACGATGTGTTAGTGTAAACAGGATTTCATGCACATTTGGTTCTTGCATTGACTTACGTTTCTATGGGTGTCCGGCAACCGCTGTGAAAACAACCCCAAATCAAACAGTGATTAAAGTGTGATTAAAGTGCGACTTCCCTGATCAAAGTGCAATCGGTCAGGCAGGCAAAGCAGGCAGAATTAAAGAGGGTCCCACACGCTTCATGCCGAATGAAAGGCGTTTAACTTTGATCTGGACTTATCAAAAGCAGAAGCCAGGTGAAGCACTCTAAGAGCTGTTGGTGTGGCTGCTATGATGGTATTAAATTTAATTTAATTATTGAATTTTATATATATATATATATATATATATATATGTGTGTGTGTGTGTATATATATATATATATATATACATATATATACACACACACATACAGTATATATATATAAAATCATGTAATTTATTTTATATTTGATATATTTTTAAGGAACAAATAAACAAACATCAATACTTAATTAATTCCTCCAGAAAGAAAAGCACTGGCAAAATATCTGTTCCATTACACCAGATGTTTTATTTTTTTCTTAGGTAGCTAGTTAGACCGTTTAGTTAACTTTTAACTAACTTGCTAAAAATGCAAAGTGCATCATGATTTGCATTCTGTCAAATTGGAAAAGAAATGCAACAGTGCTCACATAACTTCATTATTTGCTTTCACATCATTTTTTTTATTTTTCTGCTTGAGTTTTTAATTGGATTTGTCATTATAGAAATAAAAGATGCGTAATGCACATTATCTGAAGAAGTAAATCAGCATTTTTATGAGTAAAAAGAGAGCAAATTGATTCTGACACATGCATGATTCTTCATGATTCCTTGAATTCGTCTGATTGGCCAAAAGCGTGAAAGAAAGTGACTGATGTGTTTTGTTTATATAGATTTATCCATCCATGACTCACTTGGGTCCTCCACATTCGAGGGCTTTGACCGTGTGCAGAGACGACATGGCGACGGGCTCGATGGTGAGAGAGTTATTCTCCACTGCGCACTGGACCGACTGAGACAACTGGAGGAAAAGCACAAGAGAACGTCAGAGAGAGAAAACAGACGATCAGAGGAAGACATGTGTGCTCACACACCTCAGAGCAGGTGAATGAAAGACACGGCCCGATATCTTCTCTGTACACCCTGCTGATGAACGCTGAGGAGCGATCCAGACTGGGCGTCTCCTTCCACGAGAGGAACTCTGCGAACAGCACCGAGTCCAACTAGATAAAAGAGAGAGAGCGTTTAGCTTATCCTGCTTAAAGGGATAGTTCACCCAAAAATGAAAATTACCCTTACTTCATAAAGTCATATACACCTAGGATGGCTTGAGGGTGAGCAAATTATGGGGTAATTTTCATTTTTAGGTGAACTATCCCTTTAACCACTCAATTAATTAATGGTACATTTAGAAGTCATTTCTTTTTCTTAAATGTGTTGATTGCTATTTAGTTTTGTTTCCCAGCGGAAAAAAGGTCAAACTAGCCAAAGTGGTTTGCTGGTGTAACCTGGGCACTGGTGTTATTTTAGTAGTATTTAAATATTTCTATATAGTATTTATTCATGTTTTTAATTAGCCTTTTTTTTTCTTTCTTTCTTTTTAGTATTTATTAATATACATTATTAATATATTATTAGTAATTGTTATTATTATATGTAAAACTTTTTCATTATTTGTACTATTTATTAATATATTTTAATAATAATTAAATATGTAAATATAAATAATTATTATATAAAATATTAATATCTTTAGTATTTATTAACATATCTAAAACTATTTGATTATTTTTAGTATTTAGTCATTTTTTTGTTAGTTTTTCTTTTCATTATTTAGATATTTATTAATATATTTTATTAACAATATTATTTTAATATGTATTGTATTATTATCTCTAAAAATATATCTAATATAATTTATAATAATAATATAATATATAATTGTTTTAGTATTTATTAATGTTTTGAATTAGCTTTTTTATATTTTCATTATTTTTTGTATATATTCATATATTTGTATTAATATCATTGATTTATTAACATGTTTTTAATATTTATAAATATTTCATTATTTTACAGCGTTTTATTAATATTTTGAATTAGCATTTTTTTTATTTTCAGATTTTTCCTGTGTGCTTTTCATCATTTTTATTAGTTTTTTAATATTTGAAGCTATTTAGCTGTAATTTATTTTAATTTTAGTTTTAGTAATTTCAGTACTTCGATAAACTTCAATAAAACTTACTTCAGTTAGTTGCCAAGACAGCATTTCTCATTTTCATTTCAGTTATTAATTTCATCTGATATTTTATTTTATTTCAGATTTATTTAAATTAACAAAAACAATTTTTATTACTTTTAGTTAGCGATAACAACACCGCGCTGATCAGCCTGATCAGTTCTGGGCGGTTGTCAGTTGATCAGACCAGCTAAACCACCTTAAACCAGGAAAGACCAGCAAACCACCTTAGGCTGGATTAAACTGTTTCTTTTTTTTTTTTCAAAGCAAGAAAGCAAAATAAATTAAGTTCTATTTCGGAACCCTTTGTACCCTGTTGCCATGGAGACCTGCCAGGGTTGAGACACAGGTCACACAGAGCAGCTGACCAGGAATCAGACACACAGTATCAGAGAGAGGAGAACAGGAACTGCACAGATCAGAGAAATACAGACCCATGAGGAGGTGCGGAGGAGGAGGAAAACAGAGGAAGAACAGCAGGAAGTCAGTGATCAAACCCTCATCATGCAGCTACAGACTAAAACTAGTCCCTAGAAGCCCGTGGTCTTTTCCAGGAGTGTGTTTGCACCTCTTTGTCCTCCCGGTTTGACGCTACATCCGTCGGCGTGGGCTCCGTTTGCAGCTGTAGAGCACCGCTGGCGCTCTTGTTGCGCGTGTGGCCCCCGGGACGAGACGAGGCCCGACTGGAGCCCGGCGACAGCAGCTGAGGATGGAGCTGGCGGTTCGGGGAGGAGGGCGTAGAGGTCAACACCAGGGTTTTCAGAGCAGAGACCTCCGCCTGCAGGACATCAATCTGAGAAGACAGACGTATTTTGAGATTAAGAGCCTGAAGTGAGCAGAGAGTGAGACAGAAAGAGTGAGAACGCACCTTGCCCTGGGCCTCCTTCAGCTGCTTCTCAGCTGCCGCTTGTTTCACGTTGGCCTCTCGCACCATCTTATGAGCCTCCTAGAAATGAGAGATGAACGCACACAGGTTTGTGACATGAAATACTTTTAGGAAACAGACATGTCCTGTGTCTGACATGCTTCGAAACTTATTTTGCTAATGTTTTTATGCATGCAGCATTTTTAGCCAATTTTACACGAATGGTGAGACTACATGGAACATTTTTTTTAAATTATAAATTAAATAAAAAAAAACTTAGTTATAAATAAATATGATTCATGATTGAAATATGATGATTATTATTAATAACTACAAAATTAAATTGTATTAAATTGTAAAATGTGTTTTTTAATGTAATATTAATTGTAAGACTATATGAAATATTTGTAAAAAATGACAAATATAATTAGAAATTAAAAATGTTATTACAATTATAAATAAAAATTCATTATTAATTATATTATTATATATTATAATTATATAAATATATGAATTATAAAATATTTTTATATTTAATAATTAAATTACATTAAATTGTAGATTTTTTTAAAAATAATTTAACATTAATTGTGTGGCTCCGTAAATCAACAAACAAATAAATAAATATGATTTATTTTTAAATGTATATAATTATATTAATAAATTAATTATTATTATAATTATTTTATAATTTATTACAATATTCAATCATATTAAATTGTTAATTTGTTTTACAATAAAAATTAATTTGTCACCACAACATCATTTAAAATGAGCTACTAGAGGCAAAATGATTACTATAAAATTAAGAAACAGTGGCACAGCTTGATGACCAAAGATACAATCCCTTAAGCTAAAATGTAATATAATGTCAGTCTTCATGGCACATGTGTCAGTCTCTCTACACTGACACACAATAGTCTTCTCTGTTCACTGTCAATCTACTGCCAGTGATGATGCCACATTAGTCCCGCCCACCTCAAATAGACTGGCGGTCAATTCCTCCAGTTCCTGCTCCAGCTGATTCCTGACATGAGACAGTTTGACACACTCCTCGTCTTTCAACTTCAGCTCCTGAAAACACAGACGAGAGTCTATAAAGCATATTTGAATAGAACCGATTTGAATAGGAGAGCCTGTTAAATAAACAGCAGTCTACCCGAAAATGAAAATTTGCTGAAAAACACGCAGCTTTTTTCGCTTCACCAGATGGACTGATGGCCTGGAGTGGTGTGGATTATTATGATGTTTTTATCAGCTGTTTGGACTCTCATTCTGACGGCACCCATTCACATCCATTGGTGAGCAACTGATGTAATGCTACATTTCTCAAAACCTGTTCTAATGAAGAAACAAACCCATCTACATCTTGGATAGCCTGAGGGTGAGTACATTTCAGCAAATGTTCATTTCCGGGTGAACTATTCCTTTAAAGAACCAAAGCACTGATCTGAAGAACCTACAAGGAAACCTCAAGAACCTTTTACACTGAAAACTGGTTCTTGGCGCAGAACAGAATAGAATATGTGGTACCTTTTGTGCAGCATCCAGCTGCTCTCTGAGGAATTCTGTTCCCTTCTCCTTGATCTCCAGAGAGGAACTCCGCAGACGGGACATGTTGTACGTCTCTCGTCTGTGTGCTCCTGCCTCCTCCTCCTCCTCCGGGGGCATCTTCTCCCGCTGCCCCCCATCACCCCCCAGTCCAGGCCTCAGATCTGGCTCCAGGTCTACCAATCTGCAAGATTCACCAATTCACAAAAACACGATATCAAAAATCCAAAAGGAATATGTTCAGGATGCATCTTGGACATTAATTATTACATTTAAACAAAATGTTTCAAGTCTATAAAACTAAACTAGATCCCACTGTGATTCCTAACTGTCCTGTTGCCAGTGTTGGGGAGTAACTAGTTACATCTAACAGAATTATGTAATTTAATTACAAAATAAATGTAAATGTAATCAGTTACATTTACTGAGAAAAATGTGTAATTAAATTACAGTTACTTATGAAAATGTTAACGATTACAAAGGGGGTTACATTTGAATATTTTCACACACACAGATTAAATTACAGTGATTGCTCTAAAATATGAGACACCAATGTTTCAGGAGTTTAGGACACAGAATACGACACATGCTTAATTGATAACTGTTTTATTTCCTATTTGGGTTTATGTACACGCTTTATTTAAGATGAACTGTTTTTTTCCAAGGCATTGTTAGATACCAGTGTCTCCAGTCATATAGCTATGCAGAGATTTGATTTCAAAAACAGTATCTAGCTATTAAACTATTTCTTGTTAATTGTTATGATTTTAAATCAGTATTTAACCTCAGAATGATTTCAAAGTAAAAAGAGGTGCTAAAGTCTGATTTTGTGGTGGCTATATTTTATATTTTTAAAGCGAGTTTTGGGCAGTGCAGAGTAGGGCTTGTTGTTTGTCATTTCTCTGATCACAAATGCAGACATGGTTTTATGTTTACGCGGCGCGATGCAACGCAACACATAAAAAGACAGTATAAGTCATTATAATCCATAATTATGTCTCCACTGGATGCAACAAATGCCTCGTTTATAATGGGTTTTAATATTTTTGTCTCGTCGCTCCAGCCGGACAGGGCATCACGGTATGGTTTGGGCATCACAGTATGGTGAGGGGCGTAACATTTCTGTCACACGCTTGAGGTATTCAGCCAATCACAACGCACTGGATAGCTGGCCAATCACAGCACACCTCGCTTTTCAGACTGATGAGCTTTGTAAAAATCGATGCGTTTCAGAAAGGCGGGGCATAGAGGAGAAACAATAATGTACAGTATGTGGAAAATAATGTGTTTTTTTAACCTTAAACCGCATAAACACATTTCATTACACCAAATACACCAAATAATGTTCTTTTTAGCAACATCATATGACCCCTTTAAAATTAAATGACTATAATCTTAATTCAAGCGATGAAGACTTGTGAAAGTCTGACAGTAATCAGTGTGAGTGCTGCTGTGAGGTTAACCCTGCCTGCTTTAAATGTTTCAAAATGATTAACAGTTTAGAAAATTTTAGAAAAGTAACCAAATGTAATCAGTTACATTACTAAAGTAATTGAAATAGTTACACTACTTGTTACATTTTAAATAGGGTAACTTGTAATCTGTAACCTGTTACACACTTCCAAAGTAACCTTCCCAACACTGCCAATATCCAAAAAAGGACCATCTCCAAATTCCTTTTACAATATAAGAATAACCTAGTCATGAAAACATAACGCCACACCCTCCTGCATATAGTCTGACAGAGCAGTTTATGATTTCGTACACGATCAAAATCACTGACTGAGCTTCAGGGCGGTTTATGTAACTCTGCGCTCCGCGGTAGTCGCGGTATTTTCCGTCTGCGCTCCCCGCCCTTCCCCTCACCGCGCCCGGCTACAGGACTCCCGCGACCCGCGGTCACACGTCAACGGTAATAATGTGACAATCTAACAAAGTTACAGTGTTACAAAGTTGCAGCTCCGCTTTCCCGAAATGAACAGAGATAAACAGTAAGAAAAATACCAGTTAGATCTCTAGAAACTTTGAAGTTTTCCGAACCCGACTGAGCTCTACAGCTGAGATCCAATCCGGATAAACACTCCGGAATCCGGATCCGAGCGAGAAGTGTTTTGGGTCGGACAGTTTTGGCAGACTTTCCTCTTGAGATTGAGCAGGAAAAATGTCCAGCTGTCAATCACAGGTCACATGACCGAGCGGAGGCATCCAGGAATCACGTGATACGCCTCAGACAAATAGTTCAGTGTAACTATTCTATTCTGTATGCTATTTATGATTATTATGTTATTTTGTTCCATTCTGTGTGTTATTTTATGTGTTATGTTATTTTATGTTACACTGTTTGCTCAGTTTTAGTATGTTCCCATCCATGGTTCTGTTATGTTGCATATATAATTTTATGTGCTATGTTATTTTTGTTCTATTGTTTTGTATGCTATGCTGTGTTGTATTGTTCTTTCAATTCTGGTATGTTATGTTTGTTCCATTGTGTTATGTTTTCTATATTATTTGTTCCGGTCTAGTATGTTTCATTGTTATTTTGCATATTATGTTATGTCACATTAAATAGTTTGTTCACTTTTAGTAGGTTATGTTTGTTCCATTCTGTTATGTTATGTTAAATTATTTGTTCAGTTCTAGTATGTTATGATCGTTCCATCCTGTTATGTTATATTATTATGTTATGTTACATTATTTGTTCAGTTCTGGTATGTTATGTTGGTTCGATTGTGTTATGTTTTATTTTACGTTACATTATATACATTTATATGTTACGTTGTTATGTTACATTCAATTGTTTGTTCAGTTCTAGTATGTTATGTTTGTTCCATTCTGTTATGTTGTGTGTTGTTATACGTTGCGTTATGTTGTGCTATGTTATGTTACGTTACGCTATGTTATGTTACGTTGCGCTATGTCATGTTACATTGCGTTATGTGAAGTTACGCTATGTTACGTTACATTATGTTACATTAAATTGTTCACTTCTGGTATGTTATATTAAAGGTAAAGTAATGGTGTTAGATAGATATACCATGGTGTTTTGATATGTATCATGGTATTAAAAGACAAAAGTGCCATGTTTTTAAGACATATATCATGGTAGCATTATCAAGTACATGGTATGTTCAAGAATACTGTGGTACTAATATTTACAATAGTAGTAGTATAGTATTTCTGGAAGTATGTTGGAGTAACATGTATATGAATTTCAGTAGCGCTGGTATATTTCAAAGTACCATGATTGATATCTTTTTTGGACTTTATGGGATTACATATGGCATTGCCTACCATGCTACATATCCAAAAACATGGGATTACCTTTGTACCATGTCTAAAAACACGATAATACTGTGGCACTTTGATATACTATGGTGCTAATAAATTATATACCAAATCCATATACCATGGTATTTTCATATTTTGAATTTACTGCAAAGATGCAGTATGGTACTACCATGGTACATCCCTAAAACATGTTACTACCATAGTACATGTTCAAAATGTTTCAGAGTACCATAATATTACCATCACTTTACCATGGTATTTTTTTTTTGTAAGGACATGTACTTACTAAAGTACTACCATAAGGATTTGGGACATGGTACCATGACATTACCATGTTTATTTTTTAACATTTACCATATTTAGTAGCACAGCATTGTTGAAAGTATATTGGAGTAACATGTAAATACATTTCAGTACCAGTGGTTGTACCATGGTACTTTTTTAGGTTTGAAATGTATATGGTACTCCAAAAGGTATTTCAAAGAACAACATGGTCCTTTAATATGTACCAGGATACTAAATGATTACCATATTCATGTACAATGGCATTACCTACTATGGCACATGTCCAAAAAAACATGGTACTTTGATATACTATGGTACTCAAGCGTGTATGTTTGATTTTGGGTATCATGTTTGATCAAAATTATTGCTGGGGACAATTTAGTAGTCACTGGTTATCGACAGGGACATGTCCCGAGCATCCCTAATAAATTCTTCGCCCTTGATGGTACTAACTGATTACCAAATCCATATGGTCAAGTTACTGCAAAGAATGGTAAAACTTTATTTTAAGGTGTCATTGTTACAGTGTAATTATACATTTAAGTACTGAGTAACATTAATTAACTACATGTACTTACTATATGATTAGGATTAGGGTTTGTCTTAGTGTTACTCGCATGTAATTATGCATAATTTATTATTATTATAACAAAGCAATAAGCCCCAAGAAGCTGTGGTTTACAGTGAATTTATAACAGCTAAGGGGCGTTGTTTGGCACGACACGAAGCGGAGTTCCTAAAACCCCCTTAGCTGTTATAAATTCACTGTAAACCATGGCTTCACAGGGATTATTGCTTTTATAAAATGGTTATTCCATATACGTAGTAAGGTTTCACAAAATAAAACAGAGCAAATAAAGTGTAATGATATTAATAAAAACAGTATTCTTCCGCCAAACAAGTAGTTCCTCAGAAACAGTTGTGGTTCCAACAAAGTGTTTGCAGAGCAACACACCGAAGTAAACAAAGGTGTGTTTGTAGAGTAATTTACAACAGCTTCGAACTTGACTCAACCAATCAGAATCAAGGACCGGAACTATCTGTTTTATAATAGTAAGTACATGTAACATGTGTAACAAGGACACCTTAAAATAAAGTGTTACCCAAAGAATTGAATGGGTGGTGCATCTCTAAATTCATAATGTTACTGTTTTAACATCAGAAAAAAGCATTGTAAGGGTGTTTTGTCCGTGCAAATTATTGTTCAAATTTTCTTTCAGTCTACAGTGACAAAGAGTTTTACTTTTAATAGTTTCATTGGTAACACTTTACTTGAAGGGGTGTGCATAAGACTGACATGACACCTTCATAATCATGACATGACATATGTCATGAATATGAAGGAGGTTTTATGCACATTTATGACAGTCATATTCATGACGTGTGTCATGTCATGATTATGAAGGTGTCATGTCAGTCTTATGCACACCCCTTCAAGTAAAGTGTAACCGTTTCATTTAATAAATCACCAGTTATTGAAATATGCACTCTTTGATTGACAGGTGTATACTCACTGAAGAGCAGCGCAGGATGTTCGAGAAGCTCTCCGTGTACTGCGATCAGTACGCGCAACTGATTGCCGTGTCATTCGTACTGGGTAAACCTGACTTACAGTAGTGCTTTTTTTGGGATTAAAGCAATCAATTCTCAACTTCTCTCTCTTCCTGCAGGTTTCTACGTGACTCTTGTGATGACTCGTTGGTGGGGTCAGTTCGAGAGCATCCCATGGCCGGTGTTATGCCGAATTCTGCACCCCTGCCAGATTACAGGGGCGCAGATGAAGGGGCCAGACTCGTCCGCAGGAGTCTAATGCGTTATGCCAACCTGTCAGGCATCCTGATCTACCGCTCGGTCAGCACCGCCATCTACAAGAGGTTCCCGACCATGAACCACCAAGCAGGTAAACTGGGATTCAGGCCAAGAAATGTGGCCTAGAACAGCGATTAAAGCCATGTTTTGTGCCGGTACCCTTCAGTATCTGGGATTTAACCTCAAAGGGGAAACAGGAAGGAATTACGGCCAGATCCCTAAGAGCTTTGGCTGTATATAGTTCACACAAACGTAAATTATGTCATAATTTACTCAACCTCATGTCAAGTCACTTTTATTTATACAGTGCTGGACTGTTTTATTCTATACAATAAAAGTGAATGGGGCTGCAAAAATGACAAAAACCCTTTAAAAGTGCTTTGTACTTTTGTAGGGGGGCATTGTAATTGTACCAAATCCTTGTTAATGTACTAGATAAAGTCTGTAAGATTGTACCTTTTACATCCTAGTCTAGTTTTAATATTAGAAACAGTAGGCTACTAATAGTATTAGTTATGTATTTTTTTAAGCTATGCCTCTGGATAATTGATTTTTAGAATAGAGATCACCGTTCTCCCACGATTCTGAAAGCAAAACATTAGACAACCAAACTAAATAATTTGTAGGATAATTTACTTGAGTTTCTGAAAAAATGCTTATTTAATGTTATAAATGAGTCTATTTGAAAATATGTATTCATTTAAATGAATTCGTTACGTAAAAATAATTTGAAATAAATATATAATGTTTCGTCCGGAGATTTTGAACGTAGGCCTATCTCTTGAATGAATGATTCAGACATCAAATGCATTTTAACAGTCACTGGTCACCACCTACTGGCATAATGTAACATATACAATCTTTCTGGATCAGCGGCTGCACGAAAGCAGGTTTAAATATTCGGATGTGATTGTGATTTCAAAGGCTTAATAGACATAGCGGAATCATCGTCATTTAGAAATAAGATTGTGTTTGTTTGAATCGAGATCACGATCTTTTAATGATTAATCGTGCATACAAATGAGCCTGTAGCCTATGTATTTTTGTATGTCATATCTGTACCAGACCTCAAAGGTAACCAGGGCCCCCCCCATGATTTTTGGAGCTTGACAGCCCCTGATCACTGTATGATTTCATGCAAAAGATCAAAGTCAACTTTCTTCATTTTGGGAGAAAGTCATATGGGTTGAAAACTCTCCGGTACTGTAGGTCTGATGACGGCTGAGGAACTGAGGCAGTTAGAGGAACTGCCCTCCCCTCATACTAAGTTCTGGGTTCCCTGCATGTGGTTTGTCAGTCTGGCCATGAGAGCTCGATCTGAAGGACGCATCAATAATGACGGCGCAATGACCGCCATCCTCAACGTATGTCTGTCTGTGTATATATAGACTCATCACTCCTGTGATTCTGATTGTATATGTGTCATAAATATCACTTTTTTTTACGAGAATATTTCGTATAGAATAAAAATGTTTGGTTAATATCCAATTTTATTTTACTGTTTTAATGTTTGCCATTTATGATGATGGTATTTATCATAGAATTCCATTTGTAATATATTCAAGAAAACTCATATATGCAGTGCTGGGTAGTAACTGATTACATGTAATCTGGATCAGATTCCAAAAATTGAGTACTCGTAACTGGATAATACAGTATTACATTTTAAAATGTTCATAATCAGATTACAGTTACTTATTATGGATTACATGATTACGATATTCATAAAATGACAGTAAATTATTCATGATTTATTGATTCTCCCTAATTCTTTTTTTTCCCAAAAATCTTTGCTTGTC